GTCATGTGATCTGGCTGCTGGGTTATAGCGTCGGATGATCTGTTAGTGCTCAAGTTTTGTTGGCTTGGTTGAAAAACATTTTGTTGTGGAAGTTCGTGCGGTATTTCAAGTTCTAGTGGTAATTTTTCTCGAGGGTCGAGGTCCTCAACAATAACCTGTTTTGTTTCATTAGTGCCTTCTGATCGTGGACTTGTAATTGACTGTTCTATTTTCAAATTGAAATTTCAGGGTGCCGCTTTAAAAAAGAATCAAACCATTTCCTTCCTGGTCTGTTATTTACAAACGGACACTTTTGAAGGTTTTTGTTAGATATAATCTTTTGAACGCTGTCCAAGAGATGGTTCCTTGTAACTGGGAAGTGATGATCGGCCATATAAAATATCCATTTCTTTAGTAAATCTTCTTCTTCAGTTGTGAGAATAGTAGCTGGTCCTAGTTTACAAACCTCGGGAGTTTTCCCGGCTATTTTATTGCGGAGTGTTATTCTAGGGACATCATATAATTTCGCAGCCGCTGATACTGATGATCCTTGCTTGACTTTCTGGATGGCGCTGGCCATTTGTTGTAGAGAGTAATTTCTAATCGGCGCCATTCTGCGTCTATAGAAAAGGTAGGTAAGTGTTATGATGACAGAGGTTTATGCAGAAGACCACTTGCCATTTCGGGGACTATATAAGGACAATATATAAGTATTACATTAATAATATAGAAATATATATCAGGGTGTATAAGTTATCATGGAGGTTCTTTCAATGCTATAAAAAACATTAGGTCTGTCAAATTGTCAAGCACAATTACGAAAGAGCACCTTGATAATCATATGGTTATTCTAATCACGTTGTAAATCTATAATAAAACATTTCTACAATAAAGCGTACGAATAAAACAAATTATTCATATAGTTTGATAGTTGCCAGTAATGAACACCCAATTAGCAACACCATCACCAGTTATGATCATCCAATCATGAACATGCCATTTTTTAAATTCAATAATCATTACCGTGTTACGTAAAATAACAATCGTTAGGCTTTTTTATGAACATTATCAAACATTACTTAAATATTTAGCAATAATAAATTAAAAATTTCCCAAATTGTTCATGACTGGTAAGTAACACTTTTATTTATCCAATGATGAACATTGTTGTATTTGTAAATTACTATAACCATTTTGTAATGTATCAAGCTATAGGCTATTCTTAAATATACTGTTAAATCACAAAATAATGACTCATTCAACATATTAACTTTACCGACTCTAACATTAATTAATTTTTAAACTTACCTGCGCCATGATGCTTACTAAAAGATCGGATATTTTTTTAAATCGTCGGAGCCACGTATTCGTATTCAGTATATTTTGTTAATATGACCGACAGCTGTCAAAAAAAAAATTCTGGGCTCCGGATTGGATAAACACATTCATATAGTGAAACCATTGAAAAAAAAATAGTCGGATTTTGTAGTTATTGGCGATTTAATGGTAATATGTTCATGATTGGTGCACTGTCCATGACCGGGTCGATTACCTTACGACTAGTTAGAGACTAGTAATCAATATTGCTCTTATTCATCGAGTCACACGTTCAGCTGACAGTGGCGCGAAAACAAAGGACGGGCTACATTGTACCGTAAATTCAAATTAAATTGAGCCATTTGGTATAAAACGAGTACCTATAGTGGTTTGACAATCAGGAGTGATGTATAATGTCAAAGTACGAATGAAATTATTTTCTTTCCAACGAATTAGTGAATGATCTTAATCTTAGACTTGTCTCTCTATGAGGGATTCCCCGCACCGAGCCTTATTTTAAAAATTGCGTGATATTTGCCGAGACCCCCCCCCCCCTCTCTCCAACGTGAGATTAGATGAGATTTGACTCGACTCCCTCCCCCCCTTAAACATCTCACGTAATATATGGACGCCCCCTTATACAGAAGATCGAGGAGAATAATTTGCCACTCTGTTTAGCGTTAATTAACTTCCAGAAAGCAAATAAGACATAGACGGTACTGCATTCTCTCCAAATTAAGTGCACTACGGGTATAAGTAGTCTAGCGACAGTGTTACAAAGAAATTCTCCGATAATTTCTAAAAAATAATTTTATTTTAAAGTTTTATATGTGATAATGTAGAGTGAAAAAGATATGATAACGTACTAAACTAGTTATTCAAAGTGTCCCTTAGCTTTTTGCTCAAGCCAAATTTGGGTAGTGCGCGCCTTATGGCCCGGGGCTGAATCCTATTGGAATGTCCACACTTCGTTTTTGAATAAAGTGTTGTTGAGAAGTTTAACTACCGTTATACACTTTGGCTGGAGTTTTCACTCCTATTTCGCAAAAATGGTGTTTTGTAACCCCTTGGTATGAGAAACCCTACCAAACCATGACGTATGCTGGATGATGGCCTCGCTGAACTTTGGCCTCTACCTCGGAAGCTTCTGTAGAGCTGTGTGCATACACTCGATCATTTTGTTTGTTGTAGTGTTCCTCGATTGTAAATTTTTTTCATCGGTAAAGAGAGTTTTTCTATGTTTTTCGTCTGCCTGTCAAAGTAACAGCTGTTTTGATCTTTCGACTCTCTTATATTGTAGTGCCTTATTTAATGTATGTCCTGTGTAGTTTCGGTAAGCCCCTAGACCTAAGTCTTGTCTGATAATCCAAGAAAGTATCCTCGGTGGTATTCTCATTTCTCTGGAAAGGATTTTCTGCTTCCTTATTACATTTCAACGAATTCTGTCCTTGTTCCTTATTAGATTTCAACGAATCCGGTCAGTTGAAGGAAGTTAAAGAGCGAGTTTCCTAGCGCGAGGAACGAATACATCAGCATGTGGACGGTGTCGGTGGTATCAAGTTCTGCACCTGGCGGTTTTAAAGCAGTACCGTTTGATGAAACTGTTACATCTAGAAAATGTTCCTGTAACTACCAACGATTTCCAGCTGACACAGCATTTTCAGGGCTTCGTGCATAGCGGACTGCCTCTCGCGAGTCAGTCTGCCACATCCCGCCGGTTGGGTCAGTCGCATCCACGGACTAATAACCCAGTATAGTTTTAGGGCTAAATAAATATTAATTTTTTAAAAAGACTCTTTAAATCCTCAACCTAACAGAACGTTACCGTGGTCTGCTTATAAAATTCAGTTTCGCATGGTTATGGAGACAAATGGTTGGAATAAGGAGCAATCACGGGCTGGTCCAGCGCTGTCTTCGCGATCAGGCCTTGACCGTCCTTGAGGTGGAATAAGGAGCAAGCAGGTCATGACGCTACCTATGAGAAACTGATGGAGGCACGATATGGTGACGCAAATCAAGACTATGTTTCGGGCTCTATTGAAAGACCGGTTTCAACGGAGCAGTGAGTGCTTGCAGCAGTAAGCTCTGGAGATCGAAAAACCGGAAAGCTTACCAGTCAAATTCTGCTTTGGGTTAAGACATCCCAACTAGCGAAATATCTTATAAACAATCTCTTATGACTTAAGATCGAAAAACAATCGTATGATAGATCCCATTATTTCAAATAGTTGTATAAAAGAAGCTCTCTAGATTTTTAGGATTGCCCACCTTTTAGCTCTAAAATGTTGATAAAACGTAGTCTCGACGAGTTCATATCGCATTTACTCGATTTTTGTATAAAGGTATATCATGATCGCCTTCATTCAACCGTGAGCCTTATGATAACTCTTTTAAAAGCTACCAAATTGCTAATTTATCATCAAACTAGCTTTTAATAGAACTATCTTTTGGTTATTGGAACATTATTGTAGAGTAAAAGCTGTTTATTAGATAAAATAGCATTTCAGTTACTATATCAGGACTTAAGGTCATATGATATTACTCAGTTTTCATTCTACTGCACTATTGATGTTGAGTAAAAGCTTTCAAATTAGCTCCCGTAGCTTTAAAGGATCTCTAAACACTGTTTGAAAGCCATTATTCAGCATAATTGTGGTATAAAAATTAAATAAAATATTTTACAACACTGTTTTCTTAGATCACTGAACAAAACAATCATATTTGCTTATTTATGCAAAAATGAAAAAAAAATGAAAGAAGTGGAGGTTATAGACGAAAACGAAGCAAGATATATGCACAATTGAAAGCTGAAATAGAAACGTGCGGCTTTTTTACGATAACATTTGCTAATTGGAATGCTGGTACAACCTTCATTGACGGGATCCGTGACTTGGAAGTGAGGGCTGCTGTTAGATTAGGACACCATAAGACGCTGAAAGATGCCTTAGCCCATGCTCTAGAAGTAGAAGCAATACGCAAAGACGATCGCAGACGTCGTGTATGGGATGTAGTTGCAGTGCTCGTAAGGTCACTTAAAAAGGATATTAGTGAGCATTGTAATAATTCCCTGTTGAAGGCACAGGACGATAACAACGTGGTCCGCACCAAAGGTAATCAAATAGTGTTGTGGAGTGAGAGTAGTGATGTGAATTATTACATCTATGTAATAATCTTTGCAATCCACTCCGCAACAACGTAATCTGTGACATTTGTAATTTGTAAGTGGCACTTCAACATCAAGTAGTCTAAAGGTAAACTCATACCTGTGAACATGTTTATTCATTTTACCGACCCTTCATATAAATAGAGTCAGACAGTAAACTTACCAATAAGTTAAATATCACCCTAATAAACACTAATATACTAATAAATAAATACCTAAAACACATTCGGTAGATTATTAAGGAAATAAAGTCAGATTGTGAGAAAATAATAATAATTGTGGATTTTGGTCCCCCAGGTTACTTGCCAGTGAGTGATTTAAGGACATACAAATTTGGAATTTGTTATCCCTGCATGCCTAACATGACAAACTCTAGAAACTCTTTATCTACACTAATTGTCAATATGGGCACACCTGAGCAAAGGACATTTGGGTGTGAAAGGCAAAACATTTCAAAGTTCATCATGTTACACCTGCAACTGATGAAAGTGAAATAAACCTTATTATTTATTTATATTATTATTTTCAAATTTCATAATATTATAAATAACTATAAGTACCTATCATTTTTAAATACACTTGGTCTTTTTGAAATCCTACATACAGTACTAAAGAAAACAGTGATTACAACCAAGAGACAGTATGCCATTAAAATAAATTTATTGTTTCCTAGAAATAAGATTTGTATTATTTTACTTTATCTGCACTGGTATTTGTTTCAACAGCATTTAATGAAGATGAAATAAAATCCAAAGCTTTATCAGTAGCATCTGAAGCATGTGTCGGTAAATTTACTAGAAATCTGAATGTTGCTTTGACTCCACTATTCCAGTAATACTTAAACAAGTAGGATACTCTATCATTTGATGGTAGAGGAGGTAACTGAAATGATAAACATTGATTTCATATATTAAGCAAGAATAATAGGCTGAATGGTATCTAAATAAAATTTATGGTGACTGCTTGTGAAGAAATTTACCTCATAAGGAATTTGCTTTTTCAATTCACCAACATAGGGTGAAGCACCTTTTTCCAGATCATCGTATATAGCTGCTGTAGTGGAACTATCTTTCCAAACCCCTTTATCTATTGTATAGTAAACTGCACCTCCCAAAATAGCGGACTTTACACCAAATCTGTAAAGATTGTTTTATTTATTATTGACTTCACGATCCATGAAAAAAAAAACGTTGAACTGTAACCGTACTTCAACATAACTGGAGGATACGATAATATTCCGGGCGTTTTAAACAGGTAGAAAAATATCTAATGCGTGATATATAAATATACAACAGATAAATAGAGCTATGTAGTTTGTGAAATAAATTATGTAATTCTAATTTTTACAAGATCAGTTTTCATCGCTGTTGACATGACTTGTGATGGTCAACTCGAGTGACTAACTCGAGTTTACTCGATTTGGGCGTAACTCGAATCCACTCGGGTTGAATTCTCTCTAATTCGAGTTCGTAAACCGAATGGTACATGGAGCGAAGTTTGCCGATCATTCGAGTAGGAGCATGATGTTCATTCGTTCATTCATAATAAACAATTGTCACATAATAATATATTATGTAGATTTGAGGTTAATTTTAAACTGCCGCTTATCGTTGTAGATATTGGTGTTTTTAAGAAATGCCGGGAGAAAAAGAAAATCTTTAGTTTGGGATGTATTCGAATCGCCAGTGAGTGGATGTGTTACGTGTAAACAATGTTGTTTTTACTGACATTTATTATTACGCAATTAGTACGATGAATTTGCCACGGGCCTCAATCGCTATAGTTACGCCACTACTTGTCGATCCAGTTAACTCGAGATCAAATCGAGTTTTGTTTTTTCCGAGTTGGCGCATCACTAGACATGACATTGACCATTGACTCAATAGGGATAGTCGAAGTTCAACGATGTTGAATAATCATTGATGTTTAACTAGAAAGCATCGATGTTTTAACTTCTATGATATTGGCACATCAATGTTTTAAGAGTAAAGTAACGGAATGTCAATATACCCTTAGGGCGATCCTGGCGTGCACTGGAAGTAGATGATAGCTAGATGATCACGTATATCAAGTAATCGAAGTAAGCTTACAAATAGTTATTTCTTTCATTCGACTTCGCCGGAATGCACATATTCTAACGATGTTATTTAGCATACTTTTCAATCTCGATACCCCTTCTTATTTAAAGGATCGCTTCAAATTTACAAGAGATTCTCATTCTCGCCTCTTGAGATCATCAGAAAATTTGCAATTGGATATGCCGATGCACTGTACAATCTTCTACGATAAGTCTTTTACAGTCCAAGCCGTGCGCTAGTGGAATGCATTACCTGTATTGATTAGGAAAGCTAAATCCATTAATATCTTTAAGGAACTCGTTAAACAACATTATTTGTCCATGTAAGCATGCAGTTCATATGTATGAATATGTGTACGTATGGTATGTATGTATGTAGTATGTATGTATGTGTGTATGAATGTGTGTATGTATGTATGTATATACAAATATACTTCACTTACCATATACAAATATGGTAAGTGAAGTATGTATACTTGTATTGTTTTTCTTCCTACACAGTATATATGTACACCATCCATTACCCCATTATTATTAGCTCATTGATGATTTAATTCCATCCCAAGGTTGCCTGGAAGAGATCACTTTTGTACGTCTCCTTTTACAATTGAAATTGTAAGTGTTATGTGTGTGTACAATAAAGTTTATTCTATTCTATTCTTTCCTTGCACTTTTCTAGGAAATTAAAAATGTCTGTCTAATTTAGCGCTAGAGTTGTTCGAAACGACTAAAATACATGAACACGCTGAAGACTAATAGGGTATTTGTCGATATTAGTTGCGTATTATTGTCATCCTGTCAGATAATAATCTAATGAAGTTAATTTCTTAGAATCTACGGACAAAATATGTTTAGCTTTCAGAGCGTTAACGATAATGTAAAAAAGGGAACATTTTCAATGAACACCGTCCACGTTCTGTGATTGGTGTCAGTCGCAACCAATAACAGGTTCGATTTACCAGCATGTGACGTTACACGTAAACAGGAAGCTGTCATGTCAAAACAATGTTTTATTTTTTACTTTATTGAACCAACACACAGTTTCGCAATGAAATTATTTGAACTAGTAATAAAATAACTAGTAATAAATTATTTATTTTAATACAAGCACAGGACACAGTACATATAATTGACAGTAAAAAAGGAAAATACAAAGTTGAGTGTCTCATGACTGCACTAAAAAGGGCGACTAGTTCAGCATTAGTCAGCTAGGGCTGACACTGATTTTTAACTATCACCCTTCGTTTGACCCCCGGACATCAAAACGGCTATCAAAAAATGTGATAACATGCAGTGCTACTGTGTCACAAAGAGCATCCACAGTCACTGTCACAGTTGCAATTAGTTATTACATTTAATTTTATTATTTCAATAAAAAGTTTGTCTCAAAACTTATGAACACACGAGGTAGAAGTCTAAAATTAAAATGAAACTGATGCATTCATGAATTTAATATATTTTTTAAACAGAGTTTTAAGTTTGACGTATCTAATTAAATAATATCTAAAGAAATAAATTTAAAAGCCCGTCTTTTTAACAAAGAAATTAAAATCTTTAAATAATTAGAAAGTACTGTTTTAACAAAACAATATACATATGAGTGATTCTTCCGTTTCGTCCAAATCTCAACGATTTTGAGAAAAGTTTTTTTTTTTAATAGATTTTTCACATAGTTACATATAATCATTCATGTACCTTTCAAGTATAGATTATCAGTAAAGGCCTTCATGAAAAAGCTTCCTTTGTCAAGAAAATCGCTGGAATGTGATGAACCCACGGAAGGTAATGAAATACGTATGGAAGTTAATGATTGAATTTGGAAGGTAATGAAATAAAATTAAATGTGACGGGAGTGTAATGTTTTAGTATGGAAAGTAATGAACAATCAGGAGATGAAATCTTTTACGTGCATATAACTTAGGTAGATATATGATTTTTTAAATATTTTTGGACAATAAATAAAAGTCGTGGGTGTAATTAAACTTTTGTTTTATTAATTAAATGTGTTATTCATGAACGCATATAAAATAATAGAAAAAATATAAAAAAGAAATGAATTATTCAAGCGAAAAATGGGAAAAGGCGTTAGAAGGATGATGATTAAAAAATATTTCTAGAATAGGAACTTTGTTAAAAAATCAACTAAATAATCTAATATTAAAAAAATATTGTGTAACAAAAGTAGTAAGTAAGAGAAGTACTTAATTACTAATAAATGAAATAAAAATTCAACAAGTTGAACATAATAATATTTAGATCAGTTCAAAACTTTAGACTAAGAAATTAATGTAAAATAAAATAAAAAAAAAACTTAAATCTCGTTTTATAAAATCTTAATAAAATGTAACAGATTATTTATCAACAATATTAAACAATAAGTAGGAACTCTCAAGAATTAAATTAGTAATCAGTCTAATCAAAGTTACAATCAGTAATTTTTACTTATTTAAAATTAATATTTGGTAAATCTTTAAACACAAACTGCCCTCTTCTTGATTCTTCCGGCTCATCCAAACGTTGCAGAATTCGTGATTCAGGTACAACATCAACATCGCTTATAACCGGCCATCCAAATTTCTTAGACTTGCCCTGACCTTTCCTTAAAAAACATATTTTGCACTCTAGAGAACTTTGCATTCTATTTAAAATTTTACCGATAAAATAATTAGAATTCTTTTTTATCTTGTATATTACGACCACCCAATCGTCTATATTATATTTTAGTTCAATTTCCTTAATATTTTCTTTATCTAATGCAAAATAGCTACTGTCTGCTAGTTCGGTTATGTAAGAAGTAACCTGAGGAGGAGATTCATTTTTGTAAATTGTTATGGAGTCGATGTCGTGTTCAAAATCTTGGAGTTTTGGGCGTTGATGAATGATCTTTTCCAATTCTGTTTGGTCAATTGAACTGAAACCTGGACTGTTTCTAGAAGGCTTTTTGAAACTTTCATAATTTACTGCAATGTTTGACAATATTTTTATTTTAGGACTATCTTCAACTGTTATGTCAGAGTTTAACATTTCCATAGAATCAAATTGTCTCAAGTCTCCTATGTTTTCGAAAATGGTTGGCGAATCGATATGTATAAAATTTTGTAAAGAGTCTGGAATCGATTCAGTTTCGTCAGTATCCATTGGCTTCATCAAAACATCGTCATCGTTGGATGTTGATGAAGGCAGAGCAGTTGTGGTTTTTTGAAACAGCCCCACAGTCAGTATACCAAGATGTTTTCCATGTTTACATGGTACATAACTGTCACGACATGTAAAACAACTAAGACTTCTGAGTGCAATATCATAAGGCAGCGAGGAAGTCCAAAGCGCTTGGTGAACCTTATTTGTACCTTTAAATGCTGGTAAGTCTTTCGGAAACTGCCTTTTCGATATTTCTTCAACGGGAATAATAATAATTTCGACATGTTGTACGTTTTGCTGGACAATTTGGATGAAGTCTTCGAAAGTAGCTATATCACCACCAAATCTGACATGGTTGTCGGCCGTCCTTTTCACAACAGCGCCGATGCCATCGGGGGCACCTTTACCGTGCCCCGCTTCTTGATAATTCCATGAAATAAGTTTCAAAGTTGGAATCTGCTATTTCAGTTTGGACATCATGTAAAATATATATCGATTGCGGTATTGACTTGACGGTGAATCTGATAAAAAATGTAATTCTGTAAGGCTTGGGACTAACTTTTGGGCCATGTTCAAAACTGGTTGTAAATGTGCCCATACAGCAGAAGCATCGTGCTTTATATTTTCGCTTATTGTACAAAAAGATTTATGAATTATTTCTTGGGTTTCATGATCATAAAAATATAATACTCCTGTATGCAAAGAGATTTGTTGGCGGCTTCCACCGAAATGAAAACTTTGTATTTCTTCATTATATTTTAATAAATAATTTTCACTGAAGTCTATATGGCATATGACTTCATTAGGAGATAAATCACGTTGCAGATTCTTAATAGCGGAATATTGCATTGTTATATTTAAAACATGCTTGAAGAAGACTGCCAATAGAGTTTCGAACTTCATAATGACGTTACGTGGTAAATCTTCCTTTTTCTTTTTTAATGTAACTCTCTTGTTTTTTCCCTTTCCATCTTTTCCTACGTAGTCTTGCTTCTCAAAAATCCATTCATGATAAACAATAGATTTTCGATTGTCAAATTCCTGGTACGTCGTGACTTTATTTTTGCAGATTTTGCATTTTCTCTCTAAACAATTTCTTTCGTACACACTACAACATAAATTGTTCAAAACCTCAGATGAAGAATTTTCTGTGATTATGTTTGATTTCTTTAAAGATTTAAT